TTCTGTGAAGTAACCCTTTGGCTTATTATTGTATGAAGGGGATGGTGAGATGTAAAGTTGAGGTAGCGTGTTTCTTGGTTTTTGATACCGATCTGTGATTAATGTGCCATCTGTACCACCAGACCACATCTCACGATTTCTAAATAAATAACTATTGACATGGTTTTTCCTCTGCAAATAGCATTTCCTCTGGTTAGCCGGCGATACTCTGCATTTTCTCTTTTTCTGCATTTTTCTACATATCTAGGATAATAGTCCAAGTAGCCCCTTTCGGTTGAAATGTGGGACACATCGCTTCTTCTCTAATAGACGTCTCCTCTCACACGTGATGACGTCCTAATTCCATCAATATTATATCATCGCGCTTACACACACAGAGTAAAAGACTTATTCAATACCTATCCTTACTAGTTTGATGGTCGTTTATACAAGGTGTTCGCCTACTCGTGTTACAAACTTTGCCAATAGATTCTACATTCATAATGGAACCAAAAAGTCCTAATTAACTAAGGTCCGAATCTCAGCAGTTTCGGAATTATTCCCATTTTTCTAATTTTTTAAGATTTCACTACCTTGCTTTAAATAAACAATGATAACTCCAAAACTAATAGGTCCGTTGAGACCAATGAAAACTACGTTAAATTTCCAATAAGATGTGATCAATAATAAACTTGTAAACGTTCGTGAAATGAGCGTTTTAGTAGCGAGAATTTTGAAGAAAATTTTTTTCAAAGTTGAAAAACTTACTATGGTGATTCTAAACGACTATTTCCAAACCTAGGGAACAGATTTCAACAAATTTCCGAAAACTTTCACCATTTAATATCCTTTATGGTGGCGTAATTGCTTTTTTTATTACGTTTTTCATAGATGAAGAAATTGATGAAGGAAAACCGAGGTTGACGGATTGGTAAGGTGGAAATATTAAAAAAAAAACTTAAGGAAATCTCGAATGAATTTATTAAACTTTTTTAATTTAGTTTCGAAACCGAAATCGTGCAGTGTTTTTTAGTTATTTACCAAACCCAATTAAAGGGTTATTGTATTATTATTACCCGAAATAAACGAGTTGTAAGATTCAAAGCGTTTTTAGTTATTAATTAACACTATGGCTAATTTTTCTAATGAATACGCTGATATACATCTCGGTTTATTCCTTTCCTTCATCAATTTCTTCATCTTTGAAAAAAGTAATTAAAGAAGTAATTACACCATGAAAAAGTATATTAAATGGAGTACGTTTTCTGAAATGTGCTGGTCTCTAGGTTTGGAAATAGTAGTTTCGAATCACCGTTTTTCGACTTTGAAAAAAAAGTATTTTTCAGTTCTCGCTACTAAAACGCCTATCTCACCAACGGTTATAAGTATTATTGAACACATCTTATTGGAAATTTAACGTAATTTTCAATGGTATCAACCGATTTGTTCAAAACATTTTAGTTTTATAATTATCATTATTTATTTCAAGCAAGGTGGTGAAATCTTAAAAAATATGAAAAATAACTCCAAAACTGTTGAGATTCAGACCATAGTTCATTAAGACATTTTGGTTCCGTTTGGAATGTAAAATCTACTGGCAATGTTTGTAACACGAGTCGCCGAACACACCCTGTATACATGGAGAATTGTACTGGAGACAGCAAAGGGCCTCGTTGTAATCCTACGTTTACCTGAAAAGGTTGTATAACGCCATTTCTCGTCTGTTTATAGTATTTCATGATAATTCTGGTAAATTTTGTTGACACCTACGTTTAGTGAAGTTTGAAACATATAGCTTGTCATATTGCCAGTCGAAAGCCTATTTAAATTCACAAAAAAGCAAAAGATTTTCTCTCTTTTTTTTCTGGGTTGTGATTTTAATGATGTTACCAAGACGGAAAATATTATCCGTCGTCCTGAAACCCGTCCGAAAACCACCTTTTATGAGCTCAATTTTTTTATATTTTAAAAAAATATCAAACCAAAAGATGAATTATTTGCTTTTTATTTAATTTGATATATTTTCATTTTAATTGTAATTAATTTTCATATGGTCACATAAGAGGCCAATTATTTAATTTTTTTATTATAAAATATACAGCAATTTTATAGTTCACATTTCTTGTTCATACCGTTATTTTTTATGCTTTAAAAAGAGGGTTTACGTAAAGTTAAAAAGTTAAATTTGATGTTAAAAGGTCAATTTGTCGAAAAAAAGCTGTGCATATCTTTGAGAATAATGTTTTCTGACGTTTCGGAACACCTCCCACACAGTAAAAAATATAAATTTAAAAAAAAATCGAAAATCCGAAGAGTGGTAAAACCGGACATGAGAATGACTCGCAGGGTCGGAAAGAATGGGAATAGTTGAGAAATTTCGCATACGTTTTCCTGTATGTCACGCTGTTCCCGTTTTTCTTTTTCATCCATGTAGCAAGAAATAAAAAACCTTACTTTTCACAGGTTTGCACATACCTTAAAAGAAAGTGTAGGATGTTTTTAGAAAAAGCAAAACAAAAACTATCGGAATTTGTCAAAAGTTCACTAACGAACTCTCAGGATCAAGGTATGGTCTTGAAAAAGAAAACATATTTAGTTACTACTGCCACTTTTGGACATATTTTAATTTTATCATTAGGGTACAACAACCTTTATGCCTACAAATTGACATATTTAAGTTTTTTACAGGAGATCTCAAATTTAAAAAATCTCAAAAAATAGGTCGAAACCATGGTAGTATGAACTTAATTTGCTTTCTTCTTCAAGACCATACCTTGATCCAGAGTGTTCATAAGTGAAAAAAAAATGTTCGATACTTCCAATTCTGAAAAAAGAAACTTCATAAGACCCTGATGATGATCTTAAAATAGGTCGAAAGCTTGGCAGTAGCAACTAAATTTGCTTTCTTCTCTAGACCATACTTTCATCCAGAGTGTTCGAAAGTGAAAAGTGGTCGATCCTTCTAATACTGAAAATTTCAGTATAAAAGTACAAAAGTTCAGAGTTGATATGTTAAACTTTTGGTTTGTAGTTACATTTTAAACGAACCATTGTTTGACACTATTGCGCCAATGACTTATTTTTTCAGTATGGTTTGGCCAGACTCTAAATATTGAGTAATTGTCCGGAAGTCTCCCTCTCGGGCTTCTTGCACTGGTAAAAGGAAGATTAGGCTGAAATGTAATGTTTGTAGTGTTTTAATGTCGTTTATTATTTTTAATGTCGACAATGTCTGGAGGGACAAAGTCAACAAGACATATCCTATGCAATAGCAAGGAAATGGTTATGGTACTTAGGAAATCCCTTTAAACCACCAATTAGACGACCGAATATGGGTCAAGCTGATATAGAAATAAACCAAGGACTAGAATTTATACAAGTCTTGAGCAATACGCCACAGTCTTTCAGGCGAGCATTGTGCCAAGGAGGTCAAAATACTTGGTATTACCAACAAAAGAATAACCACAGTATAAGAGATCTGGATACTCAAGTGGCACTGAGGTACCTCACTGGTAAGTGTAGAGCCATTTGGGGTTGTATCAAGATTATGTGAAAACTTGGTGATTTAATAACCCTTGTTCATTGGTTACCAGGGCATACAGGTGGCTTATGTCAGTGGGCTAAGGATTAGGACACCTTTTTATGGCATTCCGAATTCCAAAAACGTACATCCATCAGACAATGGGCTAAGAAAACTCCTCGGTTCAACGGAATTGTATTTCAAGACAGAGGAGAAAGACGCCTTGAAAGACCATGTCAAAAACTAACAGCAGAACTACTAACCCTAGGACGTGTTAGGACTAGGATGATAGTAGCCGACTGGACACTGCAAACTCTGCTGATACGTAGGCCTATGCAGACTTAGATTATTGGCAACTTCTACATTTAGGTAATTTGAATTATTTATGCTAAAACTTAGCCTTTCACATACAATTGTAGAAGATGAACTCTACGCATAAACGAAGGAAGGATGTATCATGAATGAATCGTCAGGATATCACTAGCAAGTTAGAGGTAAGGGATGCGGTTATCATAACAAGTAAGTTTTGTAACTTATGCCAAGATTTCGACCTTTTTTGAGTTCTTCATCAGGGCTCTAGAAGATATTACAACATTTATAATTAATAATAGATACACAATAATTATCAAAAACATTGGATAACTACTCGTCACAATAATAAGTTTGAAGGTTGAAAGATTGGCATAAATTACAAAATTATTTGTTATGATGACCGCAAACCTGATCTCTAACTTGCAAAAACTATGCATAAAAATTCATTTAAATAAATGAAACCACCTGACTTTTATGTAAAAAATGTCTACCTTTCTTGCCACCCCCAATAATTGCCTTATCCTGGCATATCCTATACCTTATAAGTAGCCTATAAGATTCTACCTCAAGAGCAAACAGAATTGGAATCCGCACCGTACACTGAAAAGAAAAAATTAAACAGTCTAGGACCTTAATACAGTCTACTAGGAAAACAAAGTAATTTGACGGTAGAGATTAAGATAATCTTACCAATTACACCATCGGTCTTGAACTCTGGGGTATTAACAAGCAATCTATCCTACGCCGAATCGAACCCAGTCAGTTCAAAGTCCTTCACACCAATCTCAACTCCTTTCTACTTCTCTAATCAAACACTGAATAAAGACCTGGATTTCCCTTGAGCAAAAGAGCTCGTTCAATCCCGATTTCAAAAGTTCCTCAGCAAGCTTATTCCCAATCCTTTTGGATCGTTTCCTTTCCCCAATAAGGCATCCTTTAAACGCTTCATAAAGACTCAGTTGGCTAAGAGATCTCTTATAAAGGAATTATTTATAATAAATTTTATATATTAAACAATTATTATTATTATTTCATTATAATATTAATTATACTGTGTCTATTACTATTGTTCAGTTATTAGGAAAGTGTTTTATTTTCGTTTTTTATGTCTTGGTTAATGAGGCAACCAATTACAATAACTTTTGCTGCAAGATTTCCTTTTTGATTTGTCTTTTTTCCTCATTTTCAGAGTGAATGCGTGGGAGGAGGGATGCTGGGGGGATGAAATGCCTGTGGACAAGGGCCCGCCCCTTCATTTCAACAACAACACCCAGCGATCTCGTAAGTAATAGCCTAATATGGCAATTTATAGACTTACAAGAGCTGATAAACCTGGCCTAACACCTAAAAAAAAGGTTTTGGAATAACTACAATATTTCAAAAGACGAGAATTACTGTACATTTGGGATAATTATTACTGTGATTGAAAGCATGCTTGTCAGTATGCTGTCTAACTTTCAATGAGGACGGAAAGCCAATAATGTTCAGAATTTTACAGGAGAGACCTTATGGGACTCTACGATCCAATATCCAAAGCCCAAATCTGAAAATGCGGTGCTAAAATGAAATTTTCAAAAGTGTACAGATCACAGCTTGTAGCGCTTCAAGGGGGTCCTATGTCGATCCTCTCGTCGTGCTCTTGTAACTTAATAATCGTACTCACCCGATTAAGAATAGGGCATGCGACTATTTTGCACCAAAGCCCGCATTTGTGACCGGCAAAGATTGCTCCATATCGCTTAATTGAAGGGAGCGCTTCTTTGGCTTCATATAGAGAGCGACTAAGAATACAATCAGATATAAGAATTGTGCTTTAAGCAGGAAATAAGGTCATGTTATTTATGTTACCATTTTTGGAATAAACAGGGATGTTGTCGCTCAATATCTCGTTTGTGATTATTTTCTGTATGTATTGAGTTCTGTAATAATTGAATATATTTATTAGCGTGAATGTGTAGTGTTTTGAATTATCAAACTATGCCATTCTCTCTTGAGTAAAAGACACTGATATCTTAAATAGTTAACAATTAAATCTGTGTGCAAATTTTGGAGCATTCGTAGGTTTAGAAACCTGGCATTCTTAAGTGAACAGGTCAAAACTGATGGGTCAGATAGCCAGAGACACGGCTCCTAAGGTCGATAGATGTTTTTCGGAATATCTGAATCGAATATAAGGGATCACACTCATTTCATTAATAATGATAGGTCATGTGAGGTTGACACACGACACATACTTTTGGGGCAAGCTCACGTATGTGTTAGCCAAGAAGCTATGAAAATCATAAAAAAGCAAGTATGGTCTAGTATCTGTCCCCTGTTCAGATTTTACAAGAAAAAGGCAGTTATATTGTATAATGAGATTGACTTGTTGATCTTGATATGTTGTTTGAGTGTATTAGGATTAAATGTATTTATTAACGTGAGAGTGTATTGATGTCTCTTGGCTAAAATAATTCTTTGATATCTTTAATAGTGAAACATGGGGGCCGTGGTAGCCGAGTGGTTAAGGCGTCAGACTCTCGGCTAGTAGATCCCGCGGTCGTGGGTTCGATCTCCACCGTGACCCTGAATTTGGTCCCAACTCCCTTCAAACATGAGTGTTTCTTCGATGGAAGAACACCGGCACACCGGGGGCTCAAATTCATACTCGTGTTGCGAGCCCCCAAAAATGGAGCCAGGATAAAGTACAATAAGTTGAACAGTTGCAGTGCTCAGGAGGAACTCTTCCTTGTTGTATCCATTTTTAAAAAAAGTGAAACATTAAATCTATGAGAAAGTTTTGAAGTAGACGTAGCCTACCTGGGATTCTTAAGTGTACAGCTTAAAACTTGTATAGTTTCAAGGTAAGACTGGCGTGCCTCAGCTAATCCGTGGTTGGTGACTGAATCACCGAAATCACAGTTATGTTGGGTTTGGAAAAATCATAGAAGAGAAAGGTTGTTCTATGTGTCCACTTATTAATTGGAAGGCGTTCCTAAAGAGCGACAAGAATTATTTCCTTCTTTCGCTTTTGGTAGAAACAAGTTAGGTTTATTCTAGAAAATACTTAATATCTCTTCTTTTTTGTGTATGTGTTGAGATTGAACGTATTTATTAATGTGAATTATTCAACAATTAGATATTTACAGTATGTGTAAAGGGTGATGGTGGAATAATGAGTACTCCACTACCTACGGGAAGTAGCGTCAGAGGGACGAAAAGGCATGTAAAAGTTGTTCGATGTGTCTCACATAATTGAAAAGTGTAATTCCTGGGCTTCATCTAGATAGCCAATACCAGCAACGTGATTAAAGCAGCCGAAGCATTCAGCCGAAGGTCGTAGTTCGAATCCCGCTCGTGTCACTAATTTTTCGTCTCAACCACACTACATTAAAATTATGAATCGATATAAATCATTATTTTGGTTAAATAAAACCGTTTAAAAAATAATATATGGATAAGTAGGTGTAATACTATACTCTAAATTAAAAAATATATTTTCATTTCACTTTGTTTGAACTATAACTCAAACTTCATCTCTATATTTTAAAAATATATTAGCCCCTCGGGCTTAAACGTTGGTAAATATGAAAAACTTTTACAGTCTCCTAAGAAAACAGTTAGATCATTGCAAGTGAACATTGCTGTAAATGGATATTTACAGGTTTTATTAGGCTTTTAATTTATTTACAAAGGTTTCTGTGAATATTTTAATGTTGTAAATGTTATTAATGTTTTTTATTAAACTTTATGTAAGGTATTGGTTGAGATAAAAAAGTCAGTGTCACGAGCGGGATTCGAACCTACGACTTCGGCTAAATTCGCCGTTGCTCTACCTCTTACGGACACCAACCCGCCATCTCAACCTATCTTCCGAATTTTCCCTCCTGTTTAGATTCGTAGTCCGATTGACCAAATAACTTCTTTCAATTAATTAAACTTTATGTAAGGTATTGGTTGAGATAAAAAGTCGTGTCACGAGCGGGATTCGAAAAAAAGGAGGCGTTGAAAAATGGCAAAAAGGAGGGAAAATTCTAAAGGTGGGTTGAGATGGGAAGTTGGTGTCCGAGTGGATCGAAGTCACGATAGCTCAAGTGGTAGAGCAGCGGCGTATTTAGCTTAAAGTCGTGGGTTCAAATCCCGCTCGTGCCAGTGACTTTTTAATACCTTAATACCTTACATAAAGTTTAATTACTTGACCTTAGTTATTTGACCCATCGGACCACGAACTCTAATGGATTTAATGTTTTTATATGGAAAACGGATTTTCCTAACAGTTAATTTTTGATTAAAATCAAGCTAGTACGTTAGGTAGTACTGGTACTTTTTATCTGTGATCAATGCGATCTCTTTTATAGGTGATTGTTATTTTTTAATATCTGTACAGAGATTTTATTTCATTTGGATTGTTGAATTGCGTGACTACAGTCATGACTATATTCATATCCGGTTAATGTACAACGTCCCTAGATCCAATATCAAAGGGTTAAAACAAATTTAAAAAATGAAAAAGTACTTTTCCTGAAATTCAATTTTGTTAAAAATTGGAGAGAAAAAACTTAGTCTTGCCGTTTCTGCCGGCGTCAAGCCTGTCGCGTGGGATTTTCCAGGACGAACGGTACGGCTCTTTCAGGAGCTTTCTCATGTGTTTCGGCCCTGCTCAGATGGCAATCACCGAGATGGAAAAAGAAAAAAAAAACCGCGCCAGTTCCCAACGGCGTCTTCCCGGAACAGAGACGAGCAATCATTCTTTTGTAAGTCGCTGACTTTTCATTCCCTCTTTTAATTTAACGCCTGTCAAGAGATTTATCACGCCCGAAAATCTTAACAACAATTTTTGCGTTTTTCATTTAACCTCTTTGAAGCATCCAGGACTCATTTCGATAACTTGCTGGGTCTCTATATGAGAGTGTATTGGGCTGGTGCGAAATTAACGTAGGTTTCAAAAAGGCATTCAAAACTATTTTTAATTATTAATCCATTTATGTTCAGTGGTCTAATTGAACAAATTATTATTTCAATTAATTATTCTTTTTATACAAGGTTTTGGTTGAGACGAAAAAGCTAGTGTCACGAGCGGGATTCAAACCCACGACCCTAAAAGGCGCTTTTATTCCGCTGACATAAAAATCTTTATTTCCACACACAATAAAGTCTTGGAAGGCGTTTTCGGCTTCACCGTGTTCCCTAAACATTTTATCCTTAAGTGATCAAAATGCCTAAAAAAGAGGAAATCTGTAGGAGAGATGACGGGTTAATATGAAGGATGCGGTATGGTTTCATATCCTAAGTCCGTAAGTTCCCTCAGGGTTGGCATTGCGACATGTGGTCTGGCTTTATCGTGAAGAAGAATCGGCACCCTACGGTTTAACAGTGCTGTACAAAGACGTTGCAATTTCCTGTGCATTTTATCAATTTCTTGGCAATATTTCCCTGCTGTGATTGCTTCACCATAATTCAGGAAATTATTGTGAACAACCCCAACAGTAAACCCAGCCACCATAATCTTTTTTGGGGGTGGAGATTTGGTTTCGGGAAGTGTTTTGGCGCTTCACCTTTCAACCACTGACCTGTTGTCGTACAGAATCCATTTTTCATCGCGCGTGATGATACGACCGAGATATGGATCATTTTGGTAGCGCAACGGAATAGACGTGCTATCAAAGTGTCGATTTCTTTGGACTTCGGTTACTTCGTGCGGTACCCACTTGTCGTGCTTCTTTACGTCACCAATTTGCTCCAGATGGCGAACCACGGTTAAGTGGTCATCACTAAGCAATTTCCCGTGTTGTCTTATGTGAATTTTCTTCAATCAACGAGTTGGTCGTCGTCCACAACGGAAGGCCTTCTTTCCACCTTCCCTGTCTTCGAGGTCTAAATCTCTGAAACCATCGCACACCGTGCAATCTAATGCCTTTTCCCCTCAAACAGTACTGATGTTACGCGCGGTTTGGGCTGCACTTCGCACATTGAAATTCGTACACATAAATTTGACGAAAATCTAGTTTGGGCATATTTAATTTCACAGGTCCTCACTCTTATAAAATTCAATATAAATTAGAATAATTACTCAAATCGTGAGATGCGGTCTGGTGTGATGTACAACAAGGTGCGATGTAGAACAAACCCTCTCAACACTACACGCAAGAATGGTACAATTACACAGAAGACAAACACTTTGAGCCCTGAAGATGATCTCAATAAAGATCGAAACGTTGGCACGATAAAGAAAATGTTTTTCTGATACCTACATCACACCAGACCGCATCTCACGATTTCTGAGTAATTATGGATTAACGGTC